GTTGTTGTTGGTGGTTTGGTGTTGTTGCTATTTTTTGAATACGCACCTCTAGAGAATAATGATTGCTGATCTCCGGAAACGGTTCCGGGCGCTTTCGCCTCGACGTTGGCTGCACTTTCTTTGAAAACGAGGTTCCTGCTGCACTGGCTTGAGTGTAAAGTGGGCCCTTGGAGGCCCCGCTACGATGACAACGGCTTCCACTCGATACTTCCTCACAATTTACCCCGAGACACCCTGGCCAGAGATGCCCCCGAACCCAGGAACGGCGCTCTTGGCCAGAGAGGCCCCCGAACTCAGGAACGGCGATCTCGCTCGAGTTCGTCGCACTTCAGTCAGTGGTCGGCAAGGAAGAGATTCCCCCCGAAAGGGGGTGCAATCAAAGACGAAATGGGCGGGTATCGAGGGTTGGTGTACACAGAATGCAAGACACGCCTGCCAGTAAGAGTGATCAGTTTTTAATTGTGTGTTGTTGTTGATGTTGATGTTGTTGTCTTTGTTGCCGTTGAACTCTCACTACTGAAGAATATGGTTGATCCCTCCCCCTCCAGTAACCAATTTGTGTTTTTTAATTAAAATGTTTCCTCCGGGGCTCGCAAAGTAACTCGGCTCAAGCTGCGTTGTTGGCTCCCCGATTACAACAACAACGGCTCCCGCCTGAGACGTCTTCACAATTTAGCCAGGACCCCCGCTCCCGCCAGAGATTTCTTCCCGTCTTACTCAGGGATCGCGCTCTCGCTTGGGACTTCCTTACACTTTATTCCGGAATCGCTTTCTCGGCGCTCTGGAGTCGCGCTTTCGCTGGAGACTTGCTTGCAATTCTCTCAAGATTCTTGCCCTGGAATTCTCCACAATTTGCTCAAGCGCTGCGCTCCCAACACTCAGGCATCCAGGAGTCGCACTCACGCTTAGGACTCCCTCACAGCTGACTTAGGAATCGGGATCTCGCTGCCTTTCGTGGCCCCGCTGCAGCCCTGCATGGCCCCCTCGCTGCCCTTCGTGGACCGTCCGTTGCAACGCTTCGTGGCCCCCTTGCTGCCCTTCGTGGCCCCGCTGCAGCCCTGCATGGGCCCCTCGCTGCCCTTCGTGGACCGTCCGTTGCAACCCTTCGTGGCCCCCTTGCTGCCCTTCGTGGCCCCGTTGCAGCCCTTCGTGGCCCTCTTGCTGCCCTTCGTGGCCCCGTTGCAGCCCTTCATAGCCTCCTCGCCCTTCGTGGCCCCATTGCAGCTCTTCGTGGCCCCCTCGCCCTTCGTGGACCCGTTGCAGCCCTTCGTGGTCCCGTTGCAGCCCTTCGTGGCCCCGTTGCAGCCGTTCGTGGCCCCCTCGCTGCCATTTGCGGCCCCATATATGTATGCCCTTCGTGGCCCCCGCTCGTTCGGGCCCGTCGTAGCCCTGTATGCATGCGTTCAGTGGCCCCGCTGCCGCCCTTCGTGGCCCCCTCGCTGCCCTTCGTGGCCCCGTTGCAGCCCTCAGTGGCCCCGACCTTCCCCTCTACGGCCCAATAGACATATGCCCTTCGTGGCCCCCGCTCGCTCGCGCCCCACATGCATGCCCTTCGTGACCCCGCTGTCGCCCTTTGCGGCCCCCACGCTGTCCTACGTGGCCCTGGTGCCACCTTCAAGGGCCCCGTCATTACCCTCTGTGGCCCCGCATTAACTGCCCTTCGTGGCCCCCGCTCGTTCGCGCCCTTCGTGGCCCTATACGCGTGCCTTTTGTGGCCCCTTCCTGCCCTTCGTGGTCCCGCTGTCGCTCTCGCCCTCGCTCTCGCTTTCGCTCGTCGTCGTCGTCGTCGTCGTCGTCGTCGTCGTCGTCACCGTCGTCGTCGTCGTCGTCGTCGTCGTCGTCGTCGTCGTCGTCGTCGTTGTCGTGGTCGGTTCCCTGTCCGTCTCTCTTGGGGTCGGGTTGCCGCCGATCAGCGCTGCCGCTGGCCAGGCCGACGGTCCGCGGCCGCCCCGCCGCTTGCCGGGGCCCGGCCTGCAGGGAAGAAAGATCTACCCCCCAAAAGGGGCACGATCGACGACGAAGAGGGCGGGTATCAAGGGTTTGGGACGTGGAATGACACTCGAGCAGATAAGAGCGAGCAGTCTCAAAATGATTGCTCTTGTTGCTGTATTGGTAGGAGGTGCAGCAGTAGCAGCAATGATGGTGACGATGGCGATGACGATGGCATCCCTCCGAACAAGAATACGCTCGAGGAGCTGCTGGCGCCTCCGACGAGCCCGTCCCGCGGCTCGCGGACGAGCGCCCTGAGCTTCGGCATCTGGTCTGGCACCGCCGCAGTCTCCCGCCGCTCCCCCCCATGTTGGAGGTCGCGTTTTTGTCACAGGTCTCGCGGGTGCTCGCAGGAAGGCTGCGGCAGTTGTCTGTGGCTTGGGCAGCTGGCTCGGCCTCGGGAACTCGCAGGCAGATTCGGCGCCGCGAGGCCCCTCGGCTGAGGCCACCTGGGGCGGCGGATTGGGGGACTGTCGCCGCCGAGCGCGACACCGACGAGCGGCAACGCAGTGCCCGGCGCCCAGTTGGCCGCCTGGGGGAGAAAGGCACAGGCCCCTGCTGGGAGGGCATCCTCGTCGCTGCGGTCGGGTCATGTTCCTCCTCCCTACTCCTCGCTATCATACGTTAGGGCTTCGCCCCCTGCCCCTCTCTATCGTAATGGGATCTATCGGAGTCGCGTCGGTGCGTCTCGGCGCGGCCTTGGCGCATCTGGGAACACCATGCGGGGGCGGATGGGAATCATCAGCGCATACTGGGACGTTGGCGTTATCCGAGTAGCTTCTGGCCCATCCCGCCACCGAGCTTGGGTTGTGGGTATGAGGCCTCTTGTGTAAGTGTTGGGGTGTCATGGGGAGCCTCTCGGGGGCCTCTTGGATTCAGTTTGGGCGCTTCTTGGGGACCCCTTGGGGCCTCGTGGGGCATCTTTTGGGCCTCTTGGAGGCCTCTTGGGCGCGTCTTGGGCGCCTCTTGGGCCTCTTGGGGCCTCTTGGCGGCCTCTTGGGGCCTCCTGGGAGCTTCGCGGGGTACAAGTATTGAATGTTCGGTTCATAGTCCCCTGCTTGGGCCCCTCTTGGGGCAATCTTGGAGCCTTCTTGGGCCTTCTTCAGCGCTTCTTGGGCCATCTTGGAGCCCTCTTGGGCCGTCTTGGGGCCCTCTTGACGTCATGGGCTGTCTTGGGGCGGTCTTGGGAGCTTCTTGAGCAGCCGTCTTGGAGCGTCGGAAAGCTGAAAATGCGAGAAAGCCAAAATCCTTCCACAACTTTCGTGAAATCTATGATTATGGCCTCTTGGAGCTCTCTCGGGAGGCCTCTTGGAGCGCTCTTGGGGCCTCTTTGGGCCCTCTTGGGCCGTCTTGAAACCATTTTCGGGCGCCTTGGAGCACTCTTGGCCTCGGCAATGCGAATATACTGTAAGTTTAAAAGGCTTATGGCTTCGGGGACACGAATATTGTGTAATGTACGAGGGTGTGTTGCCTCAGGGACGCGAACGTTGGGCAATTTACAAAGGTTTGTTGCTGCGGGGACGCAAAGGTTGTAAACGTTACTACGGTTTGTTGCCTCGGGGACGCGAAGATTGCGTAATGTACGATGGTTTGTTGGTTCGGGGACGCAAGAATTGTTTAGTTCACGATGGTTGGTGGCCTCGTGGACGCGAATATGTATTAATCTACGGGGGATTGCGGCCTCGGGGACACGCATCTCATGTATTTGTACATGTCCCACGCCCCCCATGAATTGAGAGCGCGATCAGGGCGTTGTAAATTGGGCGGTTTGGGGCTCCTCCCCCTCGCGCGGACTTCAGCAATTAAGAGTAGGAAGCAGATAGCAGGACTGTAACACTGGAGGCTTGCAATTGCAACTGGTGCACGGATCAGCAACTTCGCCCTACAGCCTGGTGGCCCCACAAGGGGGCCGGCGGATTCGTGCGTTGGCCTCATTTTCTGCATCAAGATGCGTAGCGTCTCATCCGCCCCCTCGCCCGTATGCGAGGAACGGTCCGTTGCACCCGGCCTCAGAACGGCAGACGCTCTTGAAGCGTGCAGCGAGGGAGGGTGCAAAGCCACAACCTGCGCGGCTGAGTATTTGATTCAGCTGACCTGCGCGCGCACGCGCGACGAAGTCATGCGCCACTTACACCAGCATGTTCGAGGACGTGTCAGAAGCTGAGTTCGGCCGAGGAACTGCTGTGTCACGGCCTATCGTGCAGCGGCTCGAAAGGAGTGACAATGGGCTCCTCCTCCTCCTCCCTCTCCCCCTCCTCCCTCCTCCTCCTCCTCCTCCTCCTCCTCCTCCTCCTCCTCATCATCATCATCATCATCATCATCATCGTCATCGTCATCGTCATCGTCATCGTCATCCTTCTTGTCACCACCATCATCATCACCATCACCATCATCATCAGCAGCATCATCATCAGCATCACCATCACCATTATCATCATCATCATCACCATCACCTTCAACCATCATCATCATCATCATCAGCATCATCATCATCATCATCATCATCATCATCATCACCATCGCCATCACCATCACCACCACCATCACCGTCACCATCCATCCATTCATCCATCTATGCATCCGTCATCCTCCATGCACGATCCACAATACACCATCCATCATCCGTCATCCGTCATCCCTTCCCTCCGTACTTAGTTGTTTGCTTCCTTACTTACTCCTCGTGTTCATCATTATCGTTCTCATCCTTCTTTTTGGCGGGAAAGCTCTTGCCGACCTGGGGACGACTGGCCCTCTCGGAGGCCGCGTCTGTGCCACCAGCCCCAGGTGAGCAGGCCCGCGTCACGCACGCCTGGTCCTGGGGCGGTCGCGCCTGGTAATGTCAGAGCAGGCTCCAGCTGGAGGTGGCAAGCAGGCCAGATCGGCCACTCGTAAGAGTGGCCCTTCGCCGCAGTGACCTCTGGTGCGAGCCCGCAGTTGTCCCCCGAGCACTGGCTTACGCGCTTGGAATTAGACCCCCCCCGCCCCACGAGAGCCGCGCACCGAAGGCCACTCTCGCCGAGGGTCGCTCTTGCGTGTGGCCGACAGAGGGGTGGAGCAGGCAGCTCTCAGCCGTTCGCACCCTTTTCTCGGTGGCCGGGGTCGGCAGCTATTCTGCCTGGAGTGCGGCGCCTCCGCGGCCTCGCCGCGGTGATGGGGTTGGACGAGGGGTGTTTGGAGCGCCGCGAGGGTGCCAGGACCGCGGCGGTCATCAAGCAGCCGCGTGACGTAAATTCACCCCCGCCAACCCCAAGAGCAAGAGATAATGACAATGATGCGTTCCGAGATGTGCCAGGTGTCCGAATGTTCCGCGCAGGTTGCAGAAACGAGGGCCGCTAGATACTCTGGAACTCCTAGAACGCATCCTGAGTCAGTCACTTCATGACATCATTCTCGCCCTAGCCAAGTTTCCGCCCGTCCGTGCGAGAGGCCCCTGTGCACATCAGTCGCGAGTGGGCGAGGAGCGGTAAACCAGCACCCACCACATCGACATCGTGCGCGGCGAGGCGCCACCGTTTCGTGTGCAGGTGATGTCGCCTGCGTTCCGCTCCCCCGCGCGGGGGGGCCCTCATCTCAGCGTCGAGGCTCACAGTGGTTGTTGCCGAGAGCTGGAGCTTGGCAGGATCCGCTAGTGGCGGCACAGCGTGCGGCCATCTGAAACGCAGGCCCAGGCTCCCAACCCGCACAGTAAGGATGGGCAGCCTTCCCAAGGGTACCCTTGCATCCTTGCCTCCTCGGTCCATCCTTGGCCATTTTCGTTGGCCGCGCCCCACTCGAAAAGCTTCGAAATGGGCGTCCAAGGCAAGGCCCGTACATCCTTATCGCGCATCCTTACTACACGGGTTGACTGTACCTGGGCTGTGGTGGATTGGGCTTCTCCCCTCGGCGGTGGTATCGGGGGAGCGGTCGGCAGGGTCTGCGCTTCCATCCGTCAGGGCGATCACCAGCCTCAGCATCATCAGCATCAGCAGCACCACCAACATCCTTCTCGTCTTCATCCCCATCACCATTATCATCATCGCCATCATCAGCAGCATCATCTTAAACTATCACCATCGTCGTCATCATCATCATCACCATAGTCATCGTCATCGTCATCACCAGCATCATCATCAGTAGCATTATCATGGGTGTCACCCGAGAAAGTATTCACGTTTTCGCGCTTCCGGATTTTCCGTCGAGCGCCCGCACGTCATGATCCTCTTCTTCTGGGTCGAGGACTTCAAGTACCTCGAGGTGCTGCACGACGCCCAGGTATTCGTCCTGTTGCTGGCGTTCTTCTGGGCGGCAGTGAGGTTCGCCCGATGCTTGTCTCTTCCGCCGTCTTTCTCTTTTCTTTTCGCCCTTCTTCTGTGTTCTAATTTAAGCAGTTGCTTCGACGCTTCGTTCTGACGGCGCCCGGCGTCTTTCGGTGCGCCCGCGATCAAAAAGTACCCCCACCAGTCCAGTCAAAAGCCTTGCCCATGAGAGTTGACGGGGACGGGGGCGAAGAGGCGCACGTAATGAACAAAGCGGGCGACCTGGGTGAACAGAAACGTCTTTGGAAGTAAAGGGGTGGCATGGGAGGGCCTCTTCGAGTCATCCCTGGGGCCCGCGCGGGGGCGCGGGAATGAGGATGGGGCAGGGAGAAGACGACGACGACGACCACGGCGACGAGGAAAAATAGGAAAAGGAAAAGAAAGACAACGAGGGCAAAAACTAGGACGAGGACGTGGAGGGGACGAGGAGGAGGACAACGAGGACGGGGACAGAGCCCTCAAAATCGCCTCTTGGAGCCCTATCGGCACTCTCTTGGGGGACATTGGAATCCCCGTGGGTTTTTTTGTTGGGGGGGTCTTGGGGCTCTTTTGGAGGCCCCTTTTTGGGCCCCTTGAGAGCCCTGGGGGGCCTCGTGGGGCCATCTTGGAGGCCATCGATCAAAAGGGGAGGGGGCTCGGGGTGCTCTTGGGCCTCTCCTGAGTCATCTTAGGGCCATCTTGAGGCTTGAGCGCATTGGAAGCGAAGAGGCGAGAAAGCACAAATCAGTGATGTGCCGAAGGTTTTTGGCTGACTTGGGCCTCTTGGGGGTCTTGAGGGGGCGCTGAGAGCACTTGGAACCATCTTGCGGCCCCCGTGGAGACTCTCGGAGATATTCCGAAAGCCATATTGAACCATCTTCGGTTATCTTGACCCATCTTGGACGCCATCATGGAGCGTCGGAAGCCCTCTTGGAGCCATCTTGGCCCGTTCCGGGCGCTCCACCGAGTCGCGGCCCGCCCCGGAAAAAATTCAGGAAGGTTTCCCGGAAGGGAAGAGGCTTTGGAAGAAGAAAGAAAGGCGTCGGTAGCCCACCTTAGCCCGAAGGAAGGTGGGGTTCACAGGGGCCGGCGTTGCCGGCGGACCTACCCTTCCGGTGGCATGAAGAGAAGATTGGCTTTCCCACGTGGCCCGCTGCAGCCCTGAACCGCGTGCACCACGCGGTTCGCCAGCTGCTCGGCGCCCGAGCACCCGGCCAACGTGGGCTGCAAAGGAGCG